CTTGAGCCACAGGGGCCAAGCCAATGTTAAAATTCTTTCTTTCTTTATTTGTAGAGACAGGATCACACTATGTTGTCCAGGCTGGTCTTGAAGTGGCCTCAAATACTCCTCAGGTTCTGACTCCTAAAGTGTAGGGATTATAGGCTTGAGCCACCATGTCCAGGATAATGTAAAATTCTTGAATGTGTTAATTGTATTGTGATAATGTAGGAGAAAGTCCTGTTTCCTATTAGGTATATGGTCTTTGAGGATCAAAGATTACACATGTCTATAATGTATTTTTAAATAATTTGACCAAAAAAGTTGTGTATGCTTACATATAGAGCAAGATACTAAACAAATATGGCAAAATGTTACCATTTATAAATCTAGGTAAAAGGTAGAGAGATGTTGTTCTTACATCTTTTCTATAGCTTCATAATTTTTATTTTTTAATTAGTTTATTTTTATTTTATTTTAATTTATAGATAGAGTCTCACTATGTCACCCTTGGTAGAGTGCTGTGGCCTCGCAGCTCACAGCAACCTCCAACTCTTGGGTTTAAGGGATTTTCTTGCCTCAGCCTCCGAAGTAGCTGGGACTACAGGTGCCCACCACAATGCCTGGCTATTTTTTAGTTGTATTTTTTGTTGTTTGGCAGGTGCAGGCTGCTGGATTTGAACCTGCTAGCTCTGGTGTATGTGGCTGGCATCCCAGCCACTGAGCTATAGGTGCCGAGCCTATTTTATTTATTTTATTTTAGAGAGAGGATCTCATTCTGTTGCCTGTCGTGAACCAGCACAGCAAAGGGAAGCGAACCAGAGTGGAATTGGTGGGGAATGAGGAAAATACAGCACAAGAAAAGACATAGAAACAAAGGATGGGACCAGGAGGACTGATTGAGCCTATGGCTACTGCTAGCCCCAAAGCACAAAGTTAGCTTTATTTTATAGTATCTGTACAGGGTTGTCCAGGGGGAAGTAGCATAGACAAAATGGGGAAATAGCATAAACAAAAGACATAGTTTTGGTCTTACAGTACAATAGGAAAATGTAAATGACTTTAACAAAGACAAATCATCTTGTTAATGGTATCTGTTCAACTTCATTAGCACGTGACAAGGAGAAAGAAGGGAGAGATCTCAAGGATCTCTGCATAGTTAACAAAGGGCTACGTGACTTCTAGCAGAGGGAGCATAAAGAAAGGAAAATGGCTGTTTGGGGAACAGAGGAGAAGCTGGGGGTTCATTCTCTGAATGTTCCCCAGGCTGTGAGGGCTCTGCCATCTCACAGCCCACTCTCTACAGTTGCCCAGGCTAGAGTGCAGAGGTGCAGTCAAAGCTCATTGCAGCCTGGAACTCCTGGGCTCAAGGCATCCTCCCATCTTGGCCTCCCAAGTAGCTGTGACGTGTACCCATCTAACTTTTTTTATTTTTTGTAGAGATAGGGTCTTGTTATGTTGCCCAAGCTGGTCTTGAACTCCTGTCTTCAAGGACAGTCCTCCCACCATGGCCTGCCTAAGTGCTAGTATTACAGGCCTAAGATAGCAGGCCTGGCCCTATAGTAAGGTGACCAGACTTCCCACTTTTGGTGGGACAGTCCCGATTTTTAAAAATTTGTCCCACGGCATTTTTAAAAAGTCCTGATTTTTGGAAAGAACGCACAACAAGCTAGGGAACAGCAGGACAATGGGAAGGGAATATAGGGTTTTCAGCTGCTGAAAAGGTTAATGTAACTCCATTTGGGAATGAAGAGGTTAATGTAACTTCATCTGGAAATGAAAAGGCTAAGGTAAACTTCCTACTCCCTCCTGGGCAAGGTTGCCCTACTCCTTTGAGCCACAGGCATCGCCCTATACTTAATTTTTCTTTAATGTATTATATTTGTAAATTGTACTTATGTTGAAATTAAAAAAATACATATTACAATACTATTTTTGCGTTGTATGAAAATTTTTGTTGCTCCATGTAGACCAAATTTTTAATTAAGAACCCCACTCCCCCACACCCCCATCAGTGGTGTCCTGCTTTACCAATGTTAAAATCTGGTCACCTTACCCTATAGCTTTGAAATTTTTAAAAATAGCTGAGAAAATGAAATGAACAAAATACTTAAGGAGATATAACTTCTTTCAGCTCCTTCTACTGAATTAGTTTCTGGAGGATCTGATAATCAAGTGATTCACTGGGAAATAGAGAATAATCAGGTGAGTAGACATGTTTATGATTATAAGAAATTACTGTGATATCTACTTTTATTTTCTATTTATGGATGAAGAAACTAGATTTCATTCTGTTCCCCAGTCTAAAGTATAGTGGCATCATCATAGCTCACCGCAACATCAAACTCCAGGGCTCAATAATCTTGCTGTGTCCTCAGTAATCCTGAGTTGCTGGGATTACAGGCATGAGCCACTGAACGTAGCCCTCTACTTTTACATTCATTTTTTTTTCTCACTTTGACTTGTTCTCCCTTTTTTCTGAGACAGAGCCTCAAGCTATCCCCCTGAGTAGAGTGCTGTGGCATCATAGCTCACAGCAAACTCCAACTCCTGGGCTCAAGCGAGTCTCCTGCCTCAGCCTCCCAAGTAGCTGGGACCACAGGCGCCCGCCACAACACCCGGCTATTTTTTGGTTGCAGCTGTTATTGTTGTTTGGCGGGCCCAGGCTGGATTTGAACCTGCCACCTTGGGTGTACATGGCTGGCTCCTTAGCCACTTGAGCCACAGGCGCCGAGCTGACTATGTTCTCTGTTTATGAAATTCCTAATTCTTGCTTATGAGCAACCCAGATGTTGTGTCTTCTGTACTTCACAGACCCTGTACCCTTTCCTCTGCTCACTTATTTGTTTCTTGCCAACCAGTGAATTCCCTATCATTTTGGAGTAATTTTCGCACTTTTGTCACATGGGCTGATCTGTTTTCAGTGATAGTAAAAATTAATAATATTGTGTTAATAGGGCAGCTTTTGCCACATGAGTATAGATTTACATAATTTTGAGAGATGTTATATGCAATGCATGATGTGGGTGGATCTCTGTTGATAAGTATGTTGCTTCTAGTTATAAGCAAAGATTAAAAGTAAAAGATTAGTGCATTAACTATCTGAATATCTGCCATGCAGAAGATACAGATAAGATAAAGTTCTTCTGTTCATGAAGGAAATACGTAGTTTTGAAGGCAAAATGTATTTGAGTAACTAAAAATATAATGGCAGCTCTGTGAGTAGGTGCTTTAACTTGCACCACAGCTATGGTACTAGGAGAGTTTAGACAGGGATGTACGATTTGCAGCTCGCCTCGTGGGTCTCATGCTGATTTTGTGTGGACTTTCTTTGTTTATTTGTGGTGTCTGTTATCACAAAAAATTGTGTGTCCCTTTTTTGTTGCTAATCAATTTTCATTAGTATTTGTGTAGATAATATATGGCTCATGACAATTCTTATTCTTCCAATGTGTGACAGAGGGAAAAAAAAGGTTGGACAATCCTGCTTAAGACATATTTAAGATGTAGCCTTTGAATTGGGTCTTAAAGTATAGGTTGATTGCCATGGAGAAATTAAAGGGGTGAGGATTCCAGGTAGAAGAAAGTTCTAGTCTTGCCAAATTTATGACATGTCTGAACCTTTCCCCCGCCCTTGGTAGAGTACTGTGGCATCATAGCTCACAGCAACCTCAAACTCTTGGGCTCAAGCGATTCTCTTACCTCAGTCTCCTAAGTAGCTGAGACTACACACACGTGCCAGAATGCCTGGCTGTTTTTTTAGAGACAGGATCTCACTCTGGCTTAGGCTGGTCTCAAGTCGATGAGCTCAGGCAATCCACCCACGTTGGCCTCCCAAGTGCCAGGATTACAGGCGTGAGCCACTGCACCTGGCCCTATGAGGTGTAGTTTTGAAAGAAGGTGATTTTGGCGTTGAGTAGGTGGTTGTCAAAGGAGTGGAGAGCTGGTGAGTAGGGGATCAAACAAGTAGTGGGTAGTAATAAGAAATGATGGGATTCTGTCTTAGAGCCCTAAGAAAGGTGCTTCTGACAGAAAAATAGCCAAATAGGAGAGATGATAGGGATTTTAGCTGTAGACTTGTCATTCGATCTGTTGGCCGGATACCCATACTTGTCCTGAGAAAGAGAGTGCAGATGTAGAGGTGGGTTTTAGAGCCACCTACACTTGAACAAGAGCATCAGAGCATCAGGAGCCATTGGAAACCTGGCTCCTGTTAGGACTGATCTTGACAGAAGAATCTAGACAGAGTATTTGAGCACTCATTTTTGAGACTTGAGCTTTGAGATAAGACTTGCAAGACTTTTCTTCAGTGCTAACCCAAGCTTCCCCTGTCAGTGGAGAGGATTGCAGGCTAAGCAAACATTTAATGGCAGTCAGCACACTTAGGTAAGAAAAGGAGGATGAAAGGTATAAAAGAGGAGGAAGGAACTGAGCGGATTTAGGTGAAGGGGCCACATATTATAACTTACTTAAGGGCTTAACTGTTCCTTCCCGTATCTATTTCTGTGTACACAGGTGCTCAGTGCACCTTGCTACTGATAAAAGGAAATAATTCAAAGCTGGTATAATGTGAGTCTTTGAACAGTGAACATTGTTTCTTAAAAAGCTGGTGAATTTGAGAGATTTCTTCTGTTTTGTGTTTTTTCAAATTCTCTGATTCCATTAATAACTCTGTTTAAAAATGTGAAAGGAGGGCGGTGCCTGTGGCTCAAAGGGGTAGGGCGCCGGCCCCATATGCTGGAGGTGGTGGGTTCAAACCCAGCACTGGCCAAAAATAAAATAAAAATAAAAAATAAAACTGCAAAAAGAAAAAAAAAAGTGAAAGGAGTGAGTAATTTCAATGGGTTAAGTTTTTAGGGGATAATGAAGAAAAAAAGCATAAAATCTGAGCAGAGTCCAAGTTTCTAATAAAAGTCAATCCATAGGTCTGGTTGTATATGCATAATTACACAGAAGAGAGATTATACTGTATCTGAGGTTTAAAAAATTTTGAGGGGCAGGGTCTTGCTGTGTTGCCAAGGCTGGAGTACAGTGGCTATTCACAGGCACAGTCATTGTGCATTACTAAGCCTTGAGTTTCTAGGTCAAGCTGTCCCTTGGCCTCAGCCTCTCAGGTGGCTGAAACTACAGGTGCCCCTACAATGTCCAACTTCAACGTTTTTTTCAAAGGAAGTTACTGTGTGGATCCTTATGTGTAAGTATTCACCACCACCTTGAGTGGCAGAGTTCTGATTAAGGGAAGACAACTGAGTAGACCTTTAAGAAACACCCTATTTCAGGAGACAATTTATAGAAGATGTTTTTCAAAAGAAGTGGTGGAGGGTAGTGCCCTGTAGCACAGTGATTACAGCGCCGACCACATGCACTGTGGGTGGAGGGTTCAAACCCAGCTCAGGCCAGCTAAACATCAACTGCAACAACAAAAAAACAGCTTGGTGTTTGTGGCGGGGGCCTGTAGTCCCAGCTATGTGGGGAGGCTGAGGCAAGAGAATCACTGAAGCCAAAGAGTTTGAGGCTGCTGTGAGCTGTGACGCCACGGCACTCTACCGAGGACGACAAAGTGAGACTCTGTCTCATAAAAATGAAGTGGTGGAATCTCAACATTTTCAATTCTAAAAAATAGAGTCAAAACATAATAAGAACAGATGTCAGAGGGAATAATCCTGATGGCATGCTGATAGATGTGATAAGCAAATAGGATTTTCTGCTTTTGCCTATTTTTAAATTTTGCATCCATACTTGATTTTGGCAAATATGGGTGCATGCTGAAAGTACTTGGTAAAAGTTTGATGGGAAAGAGAATATTTACTCAATTCCAAAGTAAACTCAGATATTATTTTAAAAAAAAAAAGAAAGAAAGAAGGAAAATTCACAGTGAAAAAAGCTGGCATATACTGTCTTTACTAAAGATGAGGGGTAACTTCACTAAAATTGAGACAGACTGACATTACAAGCTTCTTTTTTTTTTT